AGTAAAGTAAATAAATAAATAAATAAATAAATAAACTTATAATCTTGTGCAGTCAAAATTTAGGGCATGCTCTAACATACTGGTAAGATTGCTATCTCATAGATGTTCTGGATCTTTATCTCAGATAATTCACAGTTTACAAAACAAAAATTGTCCCCATGATATTATGTGGAACTGAAATCTGGGGCCTAAGCATATTCCTAATACTGGAACAAGCACAATCAAAATTTCTAAGACAGTTGCTCAATGTTAACATCAAGACCACCGCTGCTGCAGTCAGAACAGAGCTAGAAATAGATTCTATCATTTAAAAAAACACGTTTTTTATATATATATCTCATCTGTCTGAATTTAATTTAAAGGTGTTTCACACATTTTGAGACTTGTAAAAGAAATATAAGAGAAAAATGTGAAAAGTTAAATAACAAATAATTATCTTTGTTTAACAAAACTAATCTCCTCCAAAGGCAAACATATTATTTTATCATCACCTCTTCCTTATGCAATATATTCAAAACACCTCATTATATTAGCATTGTGTTTTGTTCCTTTTTTGTTTCAACAAACGCAGGTGAGGCTACTTGACCTCTGTTTTTGAGAACCCCCTTTTAATGCATCAGTTTTTTTGATAAGATACTTCCTCTTTTTAACACGTTTTGAAATGAATTATAGCTTAGAGGAAGCTGCTAACTGCAACGTTTCTTCTTCTTCTTGTTTGATGCATGAAAAAAAGATCAAAGAATTTATACATTTAAAACAGATCTATAGACAATCTTCTTTCAAACATAGCATTTGAGATAATTCAAAAACACTCTTTATTCTGCATTTTATAGAATCCTAGAGTTGGAAGAGACCTCATGGGCCATCCAGTCATACCCCCTGCCCAGAAAACACTGTATTCAAAAGCACTCCCAACAGATGGTCAGCCAACCTCTGCGCAAAAACCTCCAAAGAAGGAGCTTCTGGGGCAAAGAGCCTCACTGTCGAACAGCAATCACAATCAGGAAATTTCTTCTAATGTTCAGACCTCCTTTCTTGTAGTTTGAAACCATTGCTCTGCATCCTAGTTTCCAGGGCAGCAGAAAACAAACTTGTTCCCTGTCCCTTTATAATCTTCTCATATTTATACATGACTATCATGTATCCTCCTAGCTTTTTTTTTTCCTTCCAGGCTAAACATGCCCAGCTCTTTAAGCCGCTCCTCATAGGGCACGTTCTCCAAACACTTTATCATTTTAGTCACCTTCCTCTTGACACATTCTAGCTTGTCAATATCTCTCTTCAGTTTGAGATTCATGGAATCATTTTGTAAAGCAGGTAATTTTAACATTTTTGAAGATACAATTTTCATCCCACAATTTCAATTACCTTATAATTTTTGTCACTTACGTCCAGAAAGCATCCAAGTGGCCAGCTTTTGATGCTTTCCCGACATTTTAATTAGTTTTCTTTCAGCCAAATTGATTCATTTTCCATTTTGATTTAACAAGCAATCACAGAAAGGCAAAATGAGTGAGTTTACCAATGTTTTAAACATATACACATCTGTATAAATAAAAATGCAATGCTCGCCTGTGGGACCAACATAACTCAAAAACCACTGAACAAACTGACACCAAACTTGGAAGGAATTTGGGAGTTGTAGTTTCTGGGATCTATAGCTCACCCACAATCAAAGAGCATTCCGAGCCCCACCGACGACAGAAAAATGCAAACTGAAAAGAAGCACAATTAAAGCCTTGGCAGACCGTGCAAAAAGAATCTGCGAAGCCCACCTCCTCCAAGATGAACTGAACCACCTCAACTGGGCTCTCCGGGCCAATGGATACTCCACCTCAGACATCAGAAGAGCTGCAAGACCACCAAGAACAAGCCACGAGAATAAAGATGAAGATCTACCCAGAGGAAAAGTGTTCCTGCCATATATCAAGGGAACCACTAACCGCAGTGGGAAGCTGATGAGGAAACACAACATACAAACTATCTGCAGACCCACCAAGAAAATTCAACACTTGCTTCATTCAGCAAAGGACAAGAGGGATCCTCTCGCTTCTGTAGGAGTCTACCGTGTACCATGCAGTTGTGGACAAGTCTACATAGGGACCACCAAACACAGCGTTGCCCAAACACGAATCAAGGAATATGAAAGGCACTGCAGACTACTTCAACTAGAGAATTCAGCCATAGCAGAGCACCTGATGAATCAACCTGGACACAGCATTTTATTTGAGAAGACAGAAATGCTGGACCACTCTCACTACCACCACGTCAGGCTATACAGAGAAGCCATTGAAATCCACAGGCATGTGGACAATTTCAACAGAAAGGAAGAAACCATGAAAATGAACAAAATCTGGCTACCAGTATTAAATAAAACTCTAAAATTACAACAGAGAGGAAACAAACAAGGACATCTAATCACATCTCAGCAAAAAATTGCCGCAGGCTCAGTCAGACCATTATATGCTAATCAAGATGGTCAGTTGAAACATTCACACCTAGCTCCAGCAGACAAGAGTCCT